CCCTGCCCCGGAAACGGGGGGCGGAGCGCCGGGCGCCTGGGCTCCAGGTCCCCTCCCCACGCCCAGCGCCGCGAGGGGCGGGTCCTCGGGCCCGAGACGCGCCCCCTCGTGGGACAGTCCGACCAGCCGGCCGCCCGCCCCTATGCGGCCCGGGTCTGGCAAAGAGAGTCCTCCCTTTACCTGAGTCCCAAACCCAGACGGGAGCCCCAGCAGGCTAAGCAAGACCCGCTCTGCCTCTACCTCCCGACGCCCCTGGCTCTCCGCACCCCGAGAGTCCAGGCTCTTGGCACAAGTAGCCCCGACTCCGGAGTAGGCAAGAAGTGGTTAAATAGAAACGCTCTTGGAAATCGGGGAACATAAGTTTCACAGGATCTCTGATCCCTCCCCCCAGCACACACACCATCTGTCTCCCTCTTACTCCATTCTTCTCCCCGTGTTGTTTCACCCATTCCCCCCAACCCCCCCAGTGTTTGCAAATGTAGCCGGCTCTCCTGTGGGCCCCTCCCCCGAGAGGATTTCCAGAGGGTGTCAGGGTGAGCACTTTGTAAAAATAATAGTCATGGCGTTGCTGTTGTTAGCCAAACTGAGTACGGAGCCGTCCCAGCAGCTTCACATGCGTTCTCTTCTTTGCTGCCTTGATGTATGTTACATACTTGGTAAGAAGGGGCTTTTGAAAAAGAATAAAGGACACACACACAAAATTTCATCTTGGAAAAATATTAGGAATTTTAAAAGCAGACCTGATATTTCTTGAGAAATGAAAAATATGTCGTTCAAAAAAGGAAGGAGGCATGATTGAGTGGGGGGTCCCCTGGCTTGACTGTGTTTCCTGAAAGTGTATCACCGTTCTTTTGCCCTGGACATGTGTCCGGAAGCTGGACTGAGGGATGAAGCCCAGGGCTTCCGTGGATCCTCTTGCTGAGCCCCCACAGTCTCCCCGAGAAACCAGCATCTTGTGTTGTCTGGGCCCAGGGGTGCTGAACGAGGGAGGGGATCCCAGGTCTGTGGTCTCAACAGAGAAGACCCCCCGCAGCAGCTCCTCACCTCCAAGTGCCTTCTGCAAAGTCAATTACTTGCCAGAGGCCAAACCTACGGACTCAACTCAACGTCTGCCCTTTCTTCCCTCCATCATTCCACAGATGCCACGCATGAAAATCCGGAAACGTGGACCTCACACTGGCCACCAACAACCAAAAGTAGGAGTTCCCCATCTTTTCATGGGGAATTCCCACAGCCCTCTACACTTCCTCTTCTTGGACCATGACTTCACTATATAAAAACCTCCCACGAGGGATTAGAACAGCAGTTCAAACGGAAAGCCAACATGGTACTAAGTGCTTCACATACGTGAGCTAAATTAATCCTCACAACAACCCTCTGGCGCAGGGAATGCTACTTATTATACCCATTCCACTGATGAGAACACTGAGGTTCTGAGATGCTGTCCTATTGGCCAAGCTAGTAAACAGACCCAGCTCTGTCTGAGTAGAGCACTCGGGTTCTAACATTAGCTTAAACTTCCTTTTTCTTTTTCCATTATAGCAGGTCCTCGAATACTGCCATATTGTTCAATGACTTTTTGCTACATTGAGGCTGTAGGCATTTAACTCTCTGCAAATTGGTTTCATTATTCCTTGTTCCGTTTAAAGTCCTACAACCTATGGACGATGTTGAATGAGGACTGACGACACTGCGGCTCCTGGACCTACTCCTGGATCTGAAACATTATAGGTGCTGATGAATGCTGGTCTCTGTTGAAGCTTGCTTCATAATTTTTTGGGGGTGAGAAGCAAAAGCTCTGGAGTCAGTCTGGTTGGGTCCCAAATCCACCCTATGTTCTAGCCCTTTGACCTTGAGTAACTTTGCTCAACCCAAGTCTCAGTCTTAGGCCTGGAAAATAGCATAATAATCCAGACTCAGCTGGCCTGTTTAAAGGGCTAAAGGAGAGGAGAGATACAGAGGGCTTGGCGTCAGCAGTGAGCCATCAGCCCAGGCCCATGGTGGGTCTTCTCTGTTGAGGAGTTGAGACCGCAAACATGGGATCCCCTCCCTTGTTCAGCACACCTGGGCCCACACCGCACAAGATGCTGGTACATTCCAAGTGTGGGTGCCTCCTAATAAGCATACCCCAATGAAACGTGAAGCGATGCCCTAGCAGCCTAGGGCCTAGCTGATTTGGCTCAGTGTATAGAGCGTTGGCCTGCGGACTAAAAGGTCCCGGGTTCCAACCCGGTCAAGGGCATATGCCCAGGTTGCAGGCTTGATCCCCAGTAGGGGGTGTGCAGGAGGATTCCCTCTCATCATTGATGTTTCTCTCTCTCTCTTCCTCTCCTTTCTTCTCTGAAATCAATAAAATATATATATTTTTTAAAAAAAGAAACGTGTAGCAATGAAGTGTTTTCTCTTCCCAATGCAAGCCCATGATGCCCTTCCAATACCCCTTCCTGAACAGTGACAACCCTCCGAATGACTGATTTTGTTTTTGTCTTGTTTTGCAATCAAGCTTCCTCACCGTTTGCCTCGCTGGTGAAGGGAAAGCACCTTACTGACAGATTCAACTCTCTCCCCAGCCCAGGTGCCCAAGCCCTGGCTCTTCCAAATGGCTTGTACCTTTGGACCCTGTAGACCTGAGCTGGGGAGCAGAAAAGCGAAACCAGAGCAGGAACTGCCTCCTTGAAGCCTTGGTCTGTTCGTCCATCCTTCTTACCTCCATCCCCGACCCCACCCCCCAACGAAAGAATCCCAGGTTATCTTCCAGAAGCTGCAAGCCGGGTGAGGTCATAAAACAGATGACTGCCTGCCCCATGTGATGGTGGGTGAATCATCCCCAGGCATTCTTCAAAGCTGAGGACAAACGTGAAAGGGATTAGAGGAAAAACCGGCTAAGCCACGCGACTTGGACGTTACTCTACAGGTGACTGAGCCGCAGGAATCCCAAGGACAGGCCAGCAGCCCAGCCTCCCCTGCCTCCTTCCTGGGGCGGTGTCTGGCTGCCCCAGAGCCGAGCTGGAGGACGCGGCAGGAGTGACCCTAGGCCAAGCCTTTCTTCACTTGCATTCATATCCAGGTGGCCCACAGGAGACACCTGTGCCCGGGACGCCCACTTAAATCCTCTCCCCCACGGCCACAGCGAAGAAGAAAGACCCGTTTCCACACGTGTGTTTCAGAGAATCTCAGCGTGTCAGGGTAACACATGCCACGAAGATGGGAAGGAGGAGACATGAAGCTTTAAAAAAGGAACAGATATGTCAGCAGTAGTTTCCCGTTGGCTTCTGTTTTCTCCCGAAAGTGGAGGCTGTGGAAACCTCTGCTGAGGATTTTCTTGATGCCATGACGTTACCTCCCACACAT